CTATATTATCTATATTTATCATAATTCTCTATATTTGTCTCTCCCTCTTTCTTCCACTTCTATTTGAACATTCAATTTGTTATTGACATTCTTTATTTTTTCCGTTCCTCTATATTTGACTTCATTTTCCTATCTCTCTCTCTATTCTCTTCCTCTCTTCTTTCTCTGCGTAACTCACATCATTCTATCTCTGAAATACTTGGGATACCCCCATCAGCTTGTTAAGTTGGCTTTACTTCCTACTCGACTTCTCTCTCTCTCTCTCTCTTTCTCTAGAAGGTCGCTCAAAAATCAAAAATCCTCTTCCTTTAGGTTCCGTCGGTTGACTCGATACAAATTCCTTTAATCGAAACTCAAATAGAATTTCTTTGCTCTTCGAGAACTTTTTAATTGGAAACTTCTACGTTTCTAGGCGTTTCGGAACTGTGCTGAGCTATGTCTTCTTTTAGTCCGTCCCACTTTCTAGAGAACTTTACATACATGCACTATATACTGTATATTTGTGGGGTATACGTATCTGTCTATATGTGAATATAGCAATGCAATGACAATAATAAAAAAGTTTTAACACATTTTTCAAGGTTCATTAATTTGCCACCCCCTCCCGCCCGGCTACCCCCATTTGGGGTTTGGGCTTCCACAAATTATGAAAGTTGTTTCGGCTCTGCTTCCACCGAATCACTGTAAATATTTGGTAAACTCGGCTCAAATGTTGCGTGTAAATATCCTATATATATGTAAATTTATATAGAGAAAAAGCCGCCCCCAAAGTAGCGACCCCCAACCCCTACCGCTAGCCCTAGTCGTAGACTCAACTTGCTAGCAATTTATGACATTTGCCCATCACCTGGCCCCCGTGGGCAACCTGTTCATTAAATGTAATGAGCCAGCACGCCGACCAGCTCTACACCCCAACCCCTAGATCTTCCCCTACCTCTACCCCTACCCCTACCCCTACCCATGCCACTGTCTAACCCCCTCCTCTTAGCTCAGCTGTTGTAGTTGTTTTTTGTTCTTTGGGCAAGTTTTCATTAACCATTCACAAATTTACTTTGCGGCTCCAGCAGAGCAGGTGAGGGGAGCGTGACGAGGGGTGCTCTAAAGGGGGAAGGGTTGGGGATTTTTCTTTAGGGGGTTTTAGGCAGTGCTTTCTACCAGGGCCGCGTCCTCGCCTCGTTCAAGGCAAAAGACGCGCCGGCGCAAAGGCTCACCCACGCAAGGCTTCTGCTCGCCCTCTGCCGCCTCCTATCTCTCTCTCTCTCTCTCTCTCTCCCGCACTCCATCTCTCTCTCGCAATTGCCCATGAAATTTATACACACGATAATTATTAATTGCCTGGGCTTGGAAACTCGGAAACGTTTTGTGCATGCGTTAAACGGCGCCGCGCCGCTTCGCTTCGCTTTGCGGCCCTTTCCGTCCGTTGGCCGCTTTCCACACACCTTTGACACGGCTCAATGCATACGGATATCAGGTGTTTGACAAGCGCAACTCGGCGCACAATTGCCAGCAATTACTCGGTCAACCCATTAGCCAACTCCCAGGCGCAGGCAGAGCGATCCTGCGTAGGAGTCCAGAGGGCAGGGAGAGGGCCCAGGGCTGATGGGCGATGGGGTGAGGGGCAACTGTTCTTCCGGTCAATTTGAATTGCATATTGAGTGTTTATTGGATGCGGATCATGGTTCATTGAGCAAGGCCAAAAGCGAGTGTCCAAGGCGAAGGGTAGAGGGTTGAGAGCAGCAGGACATGGCATGTGCAGGACATGTGCGTGTATCTGTATCTGTATCTGTATCTGTATCTGTATCTGTATCTGTATCTGTATCTGTATCTGTATCTGTATCTGTATCTGTATCTGTATCTGTATCTCCTTTTCTATTTATTTCTCTATCTCTACCTGTATCTGTCCGTTGCTCGGTGGGGCGTGGCTAGCTACGCCCCATTATTGTATTTAAAAGTTTCCTTCGTATTTTTCAACCAGAGACCAAAGGCGAAGGCAAACTTCCTCAACTGCCATAAATCCATAAATTTGTTCACAATTTATGAACTGAACCGAGTCGTTTTCTTTATATATATATATGTATATGTGCATAAATGTATACATAGAGAGTCTATATAAATATATATGAATGCAGAAATCAACTCGAAACAAACCGCCAGAAGTAGTTGCCCAGTCTGAACTGCTGGAGGAGAGAGGAGCAGGGGGGCTGGGCTCCTGGGCGCCATGTCAAAAATGTAGGGCTGTCTCTTTCGCTCCCTCTCATTCTCCCTCTCTCTATCTCTGTCTCTGTGTACGTGTATGTGTGTGTGTGTTGGCTTGCGTGCCAGGCACGCCTTGACACGGCACGGACAGCCAACCAACCAGCCAGTCAGCCATCCATTCAGCCACCAGTCCGAGCGACGAGCGACCAGCTCCCAGCCTATCAGACAGAATGCATTACACGGACGCCGTCCAGGCACCAGGCTCACTCTAGCCTCCGCTGCCGCTCACCCGGCCCCCTGCTCGAGGCAGCTTTCCGGAGCTGCAGTAAACCAATTCGAATTTCAAACTCAATTACAGCACCTGAGGCTTCTTGCCGGACAGCAGGCGGAACCACCCCCAACCACCTACCCGCCCACCTACAGGCACGCCTCCACCTGTCACAGAAATCCCCCGGCCCTAGCCCCTCACCCTCCATCTCTCCATGTGATGGGCATGGCGTAGCCGGATGCCGTTCGGCCACTCGCATTATTTTCGATATCGAAAACGAAACTTCCGACAATTCGAGTTGATGTTATAAAAGAAGACCAGGCGTATTAGGCCCACTAGGAGGGAGGGAGCAGGGGGCAGGTGGGCCCACCTTCTACCACCCAGCCATGCCGTGCATTAGGACAATTTGAAGCTGAAGGCGAATGTGGATGTGACTGCGACTGTGACTGTGACTGTGAACGAGGCGCAGTCATTCATTCAATTCATTGACAATGATGAGCACGATGATAGTGGGTAGTTGATAGTGGATGAACTCCGTACACCCCTTCTCTTCCATATACATATGTATGCATATATACACCCTCTCAATCAATCCACAACAACGTTGACAATTCGACAAGTGCGAGATACACACACACACACACACACACACAGACACATACACACAGTCACATGTATGTATGCATGTCTGCCTATCGATTGGCCTGGAGCATGATTAAAGCCTGTCAGACATGCAGCCAAAGCTCACCCACTTGGCCAGAGCACTTCCCATTTTCTCATTTTCCCACCTCATGTTTTCCGCTTTTCCTATTTCGCATTTATAATTTTACAAGTGCATTTGGGTGTTCCATAATACCCACAGTCATAACTCAAACATGCCAAACATTGAGCAAAACAATCCAATTTTTTAAGAAGCAAAAATATTAAATTAGGAAGACATGGAATAAGGAAATACCCTTTAATGTCTAGTATTATCTGTGATGTAGTATGATATATCAGTATTTGGAGAGACATGCTCTATCGATAGCTATCGGATTATGTTTGTAATATATATCAGAGATCAATCCAGCTCAATCAACAATATCCGTAATCAATCATATCCGTCAAATCTGTAATGAAACAGTCAGAAATTATCATTAACAATCATCATTATCAAACGATATACTACTCCAATCAGTCCTATTCAAGCATGAGACTTATCATCAATTAAAACTAGCCTGCATATTCAAGTAATCAGTCAATCTAGGATCATATTCTATCAATCATATTCTAAGAACAGATTCATCATCAATGAATCACTCAACATCAATCAAATCAATCATTAATTAGATCGTTCCGTTTTCATTAATCGTCTCAGTCAATCTCAATCAGATCGTACACAATCAATCAGATCAATCAACATGAATATAAAACACATTTACGTCCATCATTCGGCACGATCATCATTCAGCTGAGTCATCAAATGGATCAATCACAATCAATCAGATAAGAGGTATCTAGGGGCACTGATGCAATGCTAGCCTCTACCCAATTTACCTTATTCGACACCTACACAATGGGTATCTCGACTATATATGTATGTATATGAGGCACCTCAGATTACAAAACTAGATATATACATACATATATTAGGGATTCATATGTGGGATGTATCCCTCTCCATTCGCATGGAATGTGAAGTGCCATCATCTTGGCTGTTGGCTGTGTGTTTCCGTTGATGCGTCATGACGTCTGCGTGCCCCAAACATAATCGCCTATATATGCCGCCCGGCGGGGTATGGGGTAGTCCATGACAGTTGTATTCAGATGGGGGTGGACGGTAGATTTTTTTTGTATCATTAAAGAGCTGCCTGACGCTGGCTTTCAGCTGGAGAAACCCGGACGAAGGGGGTTTGCCTTAGATTTATGCACTCCATTTCGAATTGTTCCATTTCATTTATGAGTCGACAAAATATAAGCTATAATAGATATAGATATATGTCTGTATACATACGTATGCTAGCTATATAGTTATATAGCCAGTCGAGTCTGAATGCGGGCCTCGCGTGTGGAAATACACAAAAAGGAAAAAGAAAAGCAAAATGAAAAAATGTTGGATTGCTTTTTAGCTTGAGCAGGTGGAGCAGCAGATGGAAGGGGCTGGGCAGAGCAGGGGCAGGGTCAGGAGGGGGCAGCCGTTAGCCAATGACAGCGCACGCTGATTGCGGGGGTTGTTTTCTGGACTTGGCGCGTGGCGCACACTCTCTCGCCATCTCCCTCTCCCCTGCGCTATCTCCCTCTCGCTCTCTCTCTCTCTGTGTGCCGCAATTTGAAATACTTTCCATTTTGTTGCCCAGCTCTAGCCGCCAGTCGCCAGCCACCCGCCTCCTGCCCCCTGCCCACTTCCCGAGTGGGAGGGCGCCGCGGCACGCGATGTCCTTTCCGGTCGACGTAGTTTCCTTTTACATATGCCCTGTGCGAAGCCCACATCAGGTGGTGGGGCGGGCAGGGCTTACCGGCGCAACTGCTCGCCAACTACTCCATTTTGTATACCCTGGAGACCTAGATTGAACGGAATATCGAAATGAATCTATGAGTAATCAAGACAGGAAGCTGGAGTGAACTAGTCAGTGGGAATTGGCTTAGAGATCAGAATAAACTAATTACGGCAGTGAACTAGCTCATGAACCATGGCATCTATTGAGGTATTCAGAATGAACTGGCTGGGAAAGTGAACTGAATCTGTTCTAATGAATAATGCACAAGTTCTGAAAATGAGCTGAGCTAGTCAGGTGAACAATGAACCATGTAATTTCAATAAAACAGATTGTGGATCTAGTAAACTGAGTGAACTAGTGCTCAAAGTTAACTTATGAACTAGAGTCAGAGCTCAAAGTCAATCTCAATTTGTTACTCACTCTGTACAGCTTTCATTTGATGGGTATCTACTAGTCGCTCATTGCCCCGGTAGCACGCCTGTATTTCGTTTCTGTCCAAATCGCCTGTTCGTGACTGCCTACAAAACGACGCATAATTTGTGCCACTGCCGCTGTCCGTGTCCGTATCCGTGTTCCTGTCCACGGTGCCCCCTGCTGGCCCTGCGCCTGCTCCGTCCCTTTTGGAGCTCTGCCGCAGTGCCGTGCCGTGACGTGTTCGCTGCAAATTGCCTGTTAACTTGGCTTCGCATGTTGCCAACTTTAATTGCGACTGGTCAAAAAGTTCTTCAGCTTGTGAGTGGCCCGAGCAGGCCAGAACCAGCCGGGGGTAGCACCTAACCTGACCTGACCTGACCACGCCACTGGCCAATCAGCCACCGTTGCACTCACCCTTGCAACCCCCAAGCCCTCTGCGCCTTGACCAATCAGCGACACCTTCCAAGCGAAAGACTTTTATAATGCATCCAATATATACAATATACATAAATATGCCATACAATAGATATAGATATATAGATATACATATATGGAGTCAGGCTTCAAAGTTGAAGCTGAATAAGTTTGTTCCTATCATATAATTCGTGTCTTCATTCAAAGTCGCATATCGCTCTGTTAGTTCCAGGGTAACTGCTAGTCGAGCATACCCCACTGCAGCACTCTCAACTGTCTACCATACTTAAATATAAGTATTTAGCACATTCACATCTCTCACAACTCTCTCTAATAAAGCCAATGCTAATCTACAAGACATCTCTCTTCTCTCTCTCTCGCTCTCGCTCCTTCTTGACTGCCTGCTATATGCCTGTCTCTCTCTAATCGATGCAGCGATCGCTTTCCGTACTACAAGTCGAACGATGATCGCTGGAAGAACTCGGTGCGGCACAATCTCTCGATCAATCCGCACTTTCGCAAGGGCGTGAAGGCGCCGCAGGGCGCTGGCCATCTGTGGGCCATATCCAGCGGCGACTCGGCGGAGAATGTGTTGGCCTGGGAGCATGTAAGCGACTCACACACACATACACACACACACGCACAACAAGCTTTGCTCACTCTGAATTTGTTTGGATTGCAGAAAAAGCAACGCTTGGATCTGTTCTTCAAAATGGAGTCCATCAATCGCGAGCGCATTCAACAGCATCAGCAGCAGATGCAGCAGCAACAGCAGCAGCAGCAGCAACAACAACAACAACAGCAGCAGCAGCAGCAACAACAATTGCAGCAGCAACAACAGTTGCAACAGCACTCGCACTCGCCGCAGCAGCAGTCGGCTAATTGCATGTACGATGAGGCAGCTGTTGCTGCCGCTGCCCTCACCCACGAAATGCTGCAGCAGACGCAGAGCGACGAGTCGCCCACATCGCATCCGCATTCGCATCCGCATTCGCACTCGCATTCGCAGCGACTGTTGCCGTTCAGCGATCTGCTGAGCGACGACGAGCTGCGCAAGACGGCGGGACAGATCCTCAATGGCATCCACCGGGAGGTGGAGGTGCAGTCGGTCAACTCCATCATCAGCACCTATCAGGATGTGCTGCTGGACAATGGTGAGTAGCAATTGAATTGATTGATTGAATGATGGGGTGACAGGGTGATGATACCTATACTCGTATGATTGATTGATTGAGTGTCAGTGGTTCGATTGTTGAGAAATACGTGCGACCAGTGAGGGATTCGCAGGGATTGATGGAGATTGACTGCTTGATAGGTTGACTGATGGATATGATTTAAAGGGTTGATTTAGGTTATTGATTGATTGGCAGGTACTGAAGAAGATGGACGGTGATTGATTGATAGCTTGATAGGGTGGTTAATTAATGAGCAGGTACTGAAGATTGACAGTGATTGATTGACTGCTTGATATGCTGACTTGATAGTGCATTTACTTGACTGAGTGTGTGATTCCTTCACTGATTGACTGCTTGACTGATGGAGTGAGGTGCAGGCACTTCAAGTTCATCTTGAGTGATTGACTGATTGATTCATTGAGTGTCCGATGGCTTGATTGATGGCTGCCTTTTTTCCAGAAGACTATCTCAATCCCATACACAAAGACGTCGTCGTCACGGAGAGTGGACTGCGCCAGCATCAGCATCAGCATCATCAACAGCAGCAACAGCATCAACAGCAGCAGCAGCAGCAGCAACAGCACAGCGGGAGCAGCAGCAACCTGCTGGCAGGCAGCCTCTCCCACTCGCAGTACTACATCACAGAGATCGATCCCATGGAGCTGGGCATACAGATGTCCCACCAGGTGGAGCCGTCCGAGGAGGAGGTGCTATTCAGCGACGACTTCAATCTCAACTACTTTGGCTACAATCCGGGCAGCGATATTGTCGCTTGACCGCGCAAGCAACAGTTGCTCGCACAGCAGCAGCAGCTACAGCAGGAGCAGCAGCAATCAGAGCAATCGAAATACTCATAAGCCAATTCTCAACCAATACTAGTCACAGCTAACCTAATCCTATCCAAAACTAACCACCTAAGCCAGCAAATACGAAAGATAGTCCCCTCAAGTCCCCCTTATCCAAGTAAATCCCATGTATAGTTCTAGTCTTCAATTGTACCAATCCAAAACAAAAATCCCAAAAAAAAACAACTTTTTTTTTTCTTCTAATCTAATTTATAACTAGGTAAGAGTAGCCTCTAAGACAAGGAGATCGATCGAGTCCAACATTTGAAAGTCCCATAATTAAGAGTTTTTACTAGTAGCTGATATACAATATATATATACAAATATATATAATCACATCTACTTAGATCCTTATGAACTAACTAACTATTTTACATAGAGTCCCGTCTGCTAGGCGTATAGTCCAAATGCTAATCATAGTTCGTATCGAATATTTTGTTTTAACTAATCCCATGTAGCATAACGGCACTTACTCGTACAACCGATATATACATATGTATATCTATATATAAATAATTTATCAATTATGGCAAAAATATATATACCTAATTTTTTTTTATTTACATTTAAACGAAAAGTTTTATTTGCGAGGAAGTTGGAATTGGGTCTATATGAACGGTTACATCTGATTAGATTTCAAGTATATACATATTATGCATTACATCTGTATACCACGGGAATATCTTTCCTCTATGCCTATATATCTGTACTAGAGGAATCTTAGTACATCTAAAGCATATATGTATGTATGTTGTCTATAAAATCTGGATTGAAAATGCTTTCCTTAAAACAAATATATCACATACAATTTCGTTTAGGTTTTCCTTGTATAAGGAATATCTTCTGGAAATGCCTATATCAATCTATGCCTATATATATCTTCCTGTATCTATATACATATATCTTTGTCTGGCGATCTCAACTGATCTCACTTTATAGAATCTCTACTTCACTGCCTCTTAATATCATCTAATCCGATATAAACTCATGTATGCATTCATCAAGAGGTAAGGAAATCATATCAAAAATTTGTTGGTTTTTTACAAAACTCTTTATTTTCTTTGTATATCAATTAAATTTTTTTCGTGACTTATTTACGACTTAAACATTTAATATATATTTGTGGATATAATCTGTCTTGCGCAATGTTCGTAGGTGTATATAGAACAGGAAAAAAAAAATAGCTAGTCGTGCATACACATACATATTTATATTCATTTATATGTGTCCGCGTCGATATATCATAATAGTGAAGTCGTAAAATATTGAAATATATTTATATATGTATCTCTCATTGTTCATGTAGAGTAAATATGTCACCAGTCATACATACTTCGATCTATGACAAGCAGAGAGATGTACAAAGCTCGTACGGTTCGATAATATATATTTTCATATAGACTTCCAGTTGCTCATTAAGTATTGATACATCAGTCGAGTCCGCAATTGGGGAATCATCGATATAGATATATATAAATATATATATTGTTAGATAAGATGAATTTACAAGGGTGAACTCCGATTCACTTTACTTATATTAAGAAATAGTCATCCATGTCAAAGATCATCATCATCATCCCCCTTCGCCTTCTCCCTCTCGCCTGCAGGTTGAGCAGCAGCCTTGGGTCGACTCTAATCGTCGCTTTCCTCGAATGTGGGACTGCTCGGCGAATACGCCGGACTCGTCGGACTGTAGTGCGAGGGCGCTGTCGGCGAGTACATGGGCGAAGTGGGCGAATAGTTTCGCGCTGTCGGCGTGTACGTGGGCGACGTGGGTGAATATTTGGTGCTGCTCGGAGAATAGATGGACATGTTGGGGGAATAGCGTGGACTTGTCGCTGAATATGTGGATCCTGTCGGACTGTACTGGTTCGACGGCGAGTGCTGCGGCGAACTGGGCGAATACAGCGGCGAAGTAGGTGAATATTTGGGCGAGGCTGGCGAATATTGTGGCGAGCCTGGCGTGTACTGCGGCGAACCTGGCGAGCCGTCGTATGACGGCGAGGGCGGCGAATACGTTGGCGATGTCGGCGAATATTTGACGCCTGTCTGTGAGTAGGCCGGCGATGCCGGCGAGTAATGCGGCGACGCCGAGTAGTTGGGCGACGTCGGCGAATACGAAGGCGTGACGGGCGTGTAGTTCGGCGAAGTCGGCGAGTACGAAGGCGATGTCGGTGAGTAACAGGGCGACGTGGGCGAGTACGATGGACTTGACGGCGAATATGAGGGCGACATTGGTGAATAAGACGGTGAATTGGGCGAGTAATTTGACGAGCTCGGCGAATATGCATTGCCAGGCGAATACATATTGCTGCCGCTTCCCGCAAACGACGGGCTCGACTGGAAATTCGACGTGGGGGAGTACACAGGCGACGTGGGCGAATAGCCCGACGACGAAGGCGAATATCCCGTCGATTGTGGGTTGAAGTTGGGCGTGGTCGAGGCGTACCTCGGACTTGTGGACGCATAAAGCGGCGATGTGGGCGAATAATTGGGGCTCGATGGCGAATAATTCGGTGAGGCGCCGCCCGGCGACGAAGCCGTGTAATTCGGCGACGTGGGCGAATAAGATGGAGAAACGCTGGGCGAAGCGGGGAAATACGGCGACATCGAAGGGCCTGGCGAACTGGGCGATGAGCCCGGATGTGCCGGCGACCAGCTGGGCGACATGCCAGAGGCGTCTGAAGCGGCCGAGGGCGAGAAACTGGGTCCACCCGGTGTCATGGCGCTTACTGCAAATACACACAGAGAAAGAGAAAGAGAAAGAGAGAGTGGGATAAGTATATAACATAGAGCGAGAGCGCGAGAGTGCGAGAGCGAGAAAGGGAGTGAATTAACACTTACCATGCCCGGATGGCGAAAAGTAACGGGGTGTATGGCAATTCACCCATGGCGTCATTGGCGGCGTCATACTTGGCGTGGAGCCACCGCCCATAAAGATGGCAGCACCGCCCAGCATGCTGCTGCCCAGAGAATTGGGAATCTCAATGCCAAAGCGACACTTCTCCGCGTCCAGCAGCAGATCAAAGCAACCAGTGCCCATTTTGGGCAATTGGCCCATTATGATATTCTCGGAGACACCACGCATAGGATCGGTCTCGGCGTGCGCAGCTGCATCCATCAACACGTCCACAGTTTCTTCGAAGGAGCAACGCATAAGGGCGCCCGTATCCTGCCGATTGATGCCGTGGCGCGTGATGGCCATCAAGTGGCCCTTGGCCGTCATCACGTCGCAAAGCAGGGCCAGATGACGATAGTTCACGTAGAGGCCATAAAACTGTAGCACAGCGTTCATCTCCTTCTCCACGGACTTTCGCACAGCTTCAATGCCCAGCACTTGGAAGATTTCGCAAATATCATTGGAGGATGTGCGTATGGGATCGACATCTCGCTCCGACAGCACCTTCATCATCGACGTGCCATCCGTTTCCAGCAGCCATTCGCCGATGGCCTTGAACTCGCCCGTCTCGGTGATGACGATTCGCTTCTTGCTGTCCGTCTGGGGCAGATGCATATAGACCTTGCCGATCGCCTCAATGCCCTGCAGTGTCATGTCGGAGAGCATGTTGGCCTCGATGCAGCGGAGGAACATGTCGTCCTCCATTTTGTCGACTGCCTCGTCCTCGTCCTGGAACTTGTTCTCCTCGTTGTTCATGATGCGGATGCGCAGCACCAGCTTGTCCGCATTGTCGTCATTGAAGATGCAGTTCAGATCCTCGCCGAAGCCAACATTGATCTTCTCGGCAATCTGTTCCATGGTCAGTTTCTTATCCGTCATGCGCTTGCGGTCGAGCTCGATGCGCAGCAGCCAGGGCGAAATGCGCGTCGGATCAAAGTCGGGCATTTCATAGTAGACATTGACGAACTCCTGATCCTCCGCAATGACCGTCCGCTGCGGGTCTGGATCGTAGTAAATGGCCGTGTTGGCTGTTACCTTACGCAGCGTCGTATGCTCCAGACGGCACAGCACGTTCTTTGCCTTCTCCGCGTCGCGAGCGGCGCCGCCGGTAAGGAAAACTGTGAGAGACGGCGCCTTTGGCTTCTTCGATATGTTGATAATCTCCTTGAGACGCGGTACGCCCAGGGTTACGTTCTTCGAGGACACACCAGCGAAATGGAAAGTGTTCAGTGTCATCTGCGTGGCCGGTTCGCCCAAGCTCTGAGCAGCCAAGGCGCCCACCATTTCGCCAGGATTTGCCTGGGCCTGCTGGAAGCGTGTCTCGATCTCACCGATCAACCACTCGAATGCCTCGGTCGACAGGCGGAACTCCTCGGAGACGTACTTCGTGCACAATGTCGAGCGGATGAGGCACTGGAAGAGCAGCGTGGCGTTCTCGTTGGCCTGCTTGGAGATGCGATCGTTGCCCGTGACAATGACACAGCGTTCCAGCAATCCCTTCACGCCTCTGATCACACGCATCGGCGACAGATCCGTGGGCAGGCGTTTGTTGATGTGAAAGATCTTCTGCACATTCCAGATCATGCGCTGCAGGTTGCACGGCAGCACCACCTTGGAGTCGCCATTGGGAAAGATGGTGCGAAGGTTTTCGCGATCGCTGACGAGGCGATCCCATTCGGACTCCAACTCCTGGATGGCATCGCTGCTGTCCGTCATCTCTTTGATGACGTCGTCTGTGAACACCTTGCGCATGTACCGCTCATTGGACCAATCGAATTTGAAGCGCTTCTCAAAGACCTTATTGGACAGCTTCACAGTGGGCATATTTTGGAACTCGACCAGCTCGCCACAGAGGCCGTCCTCGCCGTAACGCAGCTGAATCAGCTGTCCGACCGAGTTACGCACGGTGCCATCGTAGTTGACCATCACAGACTCCATAGCCTTGATGAGACGACGCTGGATGTAGCCAGTTTCAGCTGTCTTCACAGCCGTATCAATCAAACCTTCTCTGCCGCCCATGGCGTGGAAGTAGAACTCGGACGGTGTCAGGCCGGCCAGATACGAGTTCTCCACAAAGCCCCTAGACTCTGGACCATAATCATCCTTGATGAAATGCGGCAGAGTGCGCTTGCGGAAGCCATATGGTATGCGCTTGCCCTCCACGTTCTGCTGGCCCACACAAGCAATGACCTAGACATGGATACAAAAGGCGTATTAGATCTATGCAAAGATGGAAGAGTCTCTCGCCGCTGTGTTTACCTGTGAGATGTTAATGTTGGAGCCCTTCGAGCCGGACACCACCATCGCCTTTAGATTGTTGTATTCCGTGAGGGACTTCTTGGCCGATCCACCAGTCTTGTCACGAGCATCGTTCAATATGCGATTCACTTTGTTCTCGAAGGTCTGTCGCAGCGTATTGCCGGGCGTTGGCTCCAGCTCCATGTTGTGGGCCTTTTGAATGACGTTGATGACATCGTCCTTGGCCTTCTTGATGGCCATTTGGATTTCGTTGTAGGTCTGCGGATCGGCGATGGTGTCGCCGATGCCAATGCTGTGGCCCTCGAGCAGCAGCCAGTTGTTGATCACCGTTTGGATGTTGCCGTAGAAGCGTCCGGCAATGTCGTGACCCAATTCAAGGAAACAAATATGCAACAGGGAGCCGGCTGACGTGCCGAGCGTCTTCTTGCAGAGAATGCCCATGATGAGGTCGCCATGCTCTACCATGACCTTTGTGTCACCGGGCGATATCCACTTGTAGGGTCCATCGTCCTCCTCGTCTGGATGCGTTGAGTGCGTGCGTATCATGTTCACGTTGCCGGGTATGATCAATGAGAAGATCTGTTTGCCTGTCCACAGTGGACGCGGCTTCAATATGCACGGCTGCGGCATCTTGCCATCCCACGTGGGCAGGAACATCAGCAGATTCATCACCTGCTCCCGCGTGATGAACACATCACGTTTCGTCATCTTACGGACGGCGGTCAGTGTATCCTGCACAATGCCCATGACGGGTTTGTTGGCCTGTGGCGTAATAATCTGTCGCGGTGTTATGTGAATATTCTCGACTTCAGCGCGCGTTTCCATGGATTGGGGAACATGGAGATTCATCTCGTCGCCGTCAAAATCGGCATTGTAGGGCGATGTGCAGGACAAATTCATGCGGAACGTGGACCAGGGCAACACCTTCACTCTGTGACCCATCATACTCATCTTGTGCAGCGTCGGCTGGCGATTGAAGATGACCAGGTCGTCGTCTCGCAAGTGTCGCTCCACCTTGTAGCCGCACTGCAAATGGAGGTCCGAGGACTTTGGGTGGAAACGCAAATCGATACGCTCTCCGTTGTCGCGCACAATGTATTTGGCGCCCGGATATTGCGAATTGCCGCGACGCACGAGCTCCTGCATGCGATCGATGTTGAATGGAGTCACCAGCTCCGGGAAGGTTAGGTTTTGTGCTATCGAACGTGGCACACCGACCTGGTCAATGCGCAAATTGGGATCGGGCGTGATGACAGTTCGTGCAGAGAAATCCACACGCTTTCCCATCAAATTACCACGAATACGTCCCTCCTTGCCCTTGAGACGTGCCTTGATCGCTTTCAGCGGCTTGCCCGACTTCTGCATCGCGCGCGGCATGCCGGGCATATCGTTGTCGACCAGCGTCGCCACGTGGAACTGCAGCATCTTTATATTCTCCTGTATGACATGAGCCGCAGCGCCGCTTGCCTCATTCTTGCGCAGCTCATTGTTGGCCTTGATGATGTCGGCCAACTTGTGGGTCAAATCGTCCTGGTTCTTGGCTGCACCGAACATAACTACAGCCGGGCGGACGGCTAGAGGAGGCACTGGCAGCACGGTGACAATCATCCAATCGGGTCGAGCATACTTTGGGTCCATGCCCAGTATGAAGCACTCTTCGTCGGTAATATGCTTGAGGATCTCCCAGACACGCTCCGCGGAGACGATGATCTTCTTCTCCTGCGAGTCCTCGTTGACGTGTTTCCATTCGGCCGTCAAGTCCAGGCCAGTGCGCCGGATCGATGGCTGATAGTGACCGCAGCCACCGTGGCCGGGCTTCTTGTTCGGATCCACTTGCTGATTGTCTTTGGTCATGTCCATATCCTCGCCGCCCTCGCAAATCGTTTTGCCTTTGCACAGGTCGTAGACGTAAGCCAAGCGTTTCCGTGGCTGACCCTTTGATTTCATGACAATCTCCTTGATCTTGGGATTGTGTGGAGAGACTAACATCTTGGAGCAATAGAAACAAACGCAGCGCAGGATTTTGATGGTCTTCGTTATGAAGCCGATGTGAAAGACGGGTTTAGCTAAATCAATGTGCCCAAAATGTCCCGGACACTCGGTCATATTGCCCGCGCACGTCTGACAGCGCGACGTCCGATCTATCACACCCTGGCGTGGATCCATCAAGCCGCCTAGCTTCGGCCGACCGCCTTCCAGGGTCTCAGCGAACTGAACGCCGCCCTCCGTCACGGACATTCGGCGCTAAAGTTGAGCAAGAATGTAAAGCATTAGACTAGATCCCGCCGAGAGAAAGATAAATAGCTAAGAAACCTGACGGTTATAGGACTGGAAAGGTAAAAGTTGCTGAATAGCTCAAAGATAATCCAAAGATCCTATATTCTGTATTACTGTACTCCTACCCATTGTTGCATTTGCTTTTAGTATTTACTCAATAAACTACTGTTTGTAGTAATTCCCCCATTATTCATAAAAAAGGGAAAATTAATGTATTAGTACTCGTGATAAAAAACAGACGCGGGATATGTGGGCTAGTCAAGAGATCAAAATATATATGAAGTACATTGAGTCGGACGGCTGTTAGTCAGTGTATTACATACGTATGCATAATCAGAGAATTGGAGAGAATGTTCAGGAATTCTAATTTGACTTGAATTTAGGATAAGGACAGGGGATTCAGTTTTGGCGCTTCCATCGCTAGCTAAGTGAATCATTGGCCAGCTGTAGCTTGATAATTCGACAATGACAATTGATTTTCAATATGGCGTCGATTTCACATTTTGCATTCGACCTTTTTTTCAATTTGCGGCTACTTACTATTTCATCAGGTGATAAAATGCCGAACTGCACGCGTTTCACCTGGCGCAACGGCGCCTTCGAATCCGTCGTGGTGCTCATATTGCCTTGTTGCGGGAAACTCTTTCAAGTGTCGCGATTTTCCGCAACTGTGAAAAACTGCTGAAAAATGTTTTGCACGCGTGACAAAGCCAGCGAGCGTACAGCGTAAATAGTCACACGCGTCTTGTTTTGGCGGCGATAAATTTAAAATAAATGTTGGTGGTTGTTTGTTGTGTGTTCAGCGCATGTTTTACAATCCTAACATTACAACTGAACGCTCGAAATGGACTTTTGTGCTATATCCGCGGTTTTCCACTTGCAGACGCGAGGCAACGCAGTCCGTACAGCGCACTAAAAAAATTATAGTGGGGGCTCAGTTTCGTTACCAATGCAACTCTGCATTTTTCCTTCTCTTTGTGCGATAGTGCTTATCGATGGCAATTTTCGCGAAAAAAAAAAACAGCTTACAAAATGTAGACGTTTATTTTATCTCTTCTCAAGTCACAATTATTTTTTGGCTTTCTAGAGTTGAAACTGCAATTAGTGAGAGAAGAAAAGCAATTAGCACTATCTGTGCTGCTAACGATATTTGAGTGACGATATTTAGTGTTGAAGTGTCATTAATAATTATAAGCAGTGCTATCTAACGATAAAGTTTGATTTTCAATGATTTTTGACTAATCTTGTAACTTGTAATTGCTACCACTGGTCAGTGTTAGCTACATAATTTAAATCTCAATCAGGTAAACGTAACTATCGCTTTCCTACGCGGTATATGCAACGAAGCGATAGTTACACGAAACGTGCTGATATATCGCTTGTGCCATAACTTTCACAACTTACGGTTACGACAACAATAAAAAAATAATCAAAATAAGCAAAAAGGTTAAACAATGAGCGGAGCCGGCTCTGCCGTAGATGCAGTCGCTGCGGAAAAGAAGCGCAAATTTCGCATTCAAGGTAAATGAAGAAACAAACCAATTGAATTGATGCTCACTTAACGATGTTATTAAGCGGCTGCATTCATGGGCCTCGTCGGTGGAATTTCTGCGTTGTTTGGATTCTCTCGCACGCTGGCCACGGCCAAGAAGTCGGACAGCAAAGTACTCCAGCAGCAAGCCACCAAACAAGGCATGATTCTCATGGACGAAGGCACAACGCTGGCAATGCGAGCCCTTGGCTGGGGCACATTGTATGCTGTATTGGGTACCGGAGCATTTTGCTACGGATTCTGGAAGCTGAGTGGTGCCAAGGATGTAACTATTTCACTAGTGATGAATCATCATTATATGGCATTTACATTTGTAATGTCTTGCAGTTCGACGAGTTTCGCTTGAAGATGGGCAACGCTTTGCCGCGAATTAGTAAAGATGAGCCAGCTAACAGTCGCACGGACTTTGAAAGCCTTACAGATCTGATGAAATATCTGGCTGCCTGGAACAAGGAGTAAACCCATACACACACACAAACATTGTAGAATAAATGCCAATTGTAAAACTCATATTTTATTATTTGAAATGTATACTCGATTTGCACGAAGGCATAATTTCAGCAACCGCCTGATTATCCAAATATTTTAAGCTCAGCATATCAATACATCGTTACAACCATCGCGGACCAAGGAATAGATATCGATAGACAATCATACACTAGGAGGATAAACATCGATGATTTTCAGTTATATTACAATTTGAAGTACATATAGAAGCGTGACTATCGCTAAACGTATGCGTCGCATACGGTATCTCTATATATTTCATTTTCTTATGGAAATTTCATTAGCCAAGGCTTCAGATATGCAATTCTGTTGTTTTTGTAGTTCATCGAACTGGCAGCAATTCTTTAAATTCTCCTGCAGGTCCTGCATCATTTCAAATTGCCTAATAAACGCATTGCCATCATCCATAAAGCTACTAAAGCCCCGTATGAAATTCTGCAAATTTGGTCCTTTACTCAGATATGCTTGCTGCTCCTCGCTTGGCTTGTATTCGGATTCTACAGCCTTCCCTTCATCTTGTTTTTGCAAAATTTTGGTGGTAAAGGATTCCCACAGTTGTTTCTCCTGCGCAACGCTCGCGACATAAGCATCCACATCTGTGCTGGCGCATTCGCAAGTGGATTCAGCTACAAAAGCAAATATAGTTTACAAAATTGAAATCAAAAGCAATTTATTTTGATATACCATCAGCTAGGTCGAGTGTTGTATTGAATATGCTTCTCTTCTCATCGTAGACCGGTTTCGATGTTATTGTCTTGTGCAGCTTGTCCACAGCATCGTCCACGTCAATATCCGATATATCATCCACATCACTCAAGTACACAGAAGGTGGATTTTCGCTCTTTTCCCGCACTATTGATATATTTGATTCCGCTTCCATTTTCAAAATAAGACGCCAAGAGTTGCAACAGGAGTAAGGTAGCGCAAAGGATGGGCAGTGCGACTATGACGTCACAAAACGAGAGTTGAGCGTCATGGGTGACACGAATAGGCGCGAAAATGCAGTGAACAAAAACGATAGATTAAGTTATACTGTATAGATTATATATAAATATAAAATAATAAGAGACTGCATTACTTTTTTTTAATACGAATTAGGCCCTTGTTGCATCGGGTCACTGACCAGAGTGTGTTCTCTGGTTCGTGATCGGGTCTTATGTGACAGTGATCACCATTTTACAGCACTGACACGCAGTTGGCTTTGCTTTTTAAATTGAAGATGACAAAAATTGATGCAATTAGGCAAACAAGTTCGGCAAGTCGACATGAGAACAGACAGAAATTATATACTAAAAAAAAAAAAGATTCGTAACTTTTTGATAAAAGATTATTATTTTTTTTGTTTTGTTTTGTTTTTTGTTTTTTTTTTTTTGTTTTGCCAAATTCAAACAAATCTCATCGCAATTGTCTCTTTAGGAAAGAAAACCAATCGATAAATATTATTTATATTCAACGGTTCGCAGCACTGAAACAGAGCGGGCTTTTCGTTTAGCGTTTGAAAAGTGAAACCGGATAAAATCCAGTAGTCGCTGTCTGAATTGTATATTTTGTTGTATTCGGAGCAGTTGTGTGGGGCTCACTTGAAACAGTGCTTTCACAAAAACAGAGGCGTGCTCCGAAATTTCGAAATTCTAGAAATAAGAACATTTTCTTCACAAATTTCCGTGTGGCCGCGATAAAATATTTTCAAACCGTGCAAAAAAAAAAAAAAAAGAAGACAAAATAACCAAAACTACCGTAAATATTGCTTTATATTCATATAGGTGTACAAAGAAATTTTGGAAGATGATTTACGAATTGCTTATAATGACTGTTGGCTGGCTCTATCCAGCATTCGCTACATATAATTGCCTCAATGGGAATCTTCGGTCTCAAGTACCGTGGATGAAATATTGGATCGTGTTTGGTTTATTCAACGCGTTCCACTATTTCACCGCCTATCTGGAGCCGTGGGTGCCCTGCCTGAGCGGCTTCAAGCTGTTCGTACTCTGCTGGCTGTTGCCCAACGTCGGCAGCGGCTGCCAACTGATTTACGACGAGGTCGTCGATCCGCTGCTGAAGAGAAACAAGCAGGCGATCACCCTGACTGTGGACGGCATCTCCACCGTGAGCAGCTCAATGATGCGTGAGCTGGTCAAGATGATATACCACCTGATGGTGGACGTGGTCGAGCAGTGCTGGCTAATGACCCGGAATGCCAACGACATCAATGTGACGCCACGTCTGCAGACGGCCATCAATGAGGTGATTGGCGAGTTGCGTGCGGCCCGACAGGCAGCCATATTTATGCCTGGATCGCTACCGCAGGCCGTGCATCTGCCACTGGAGGGGGGGACCCTGTCAATAGCTGGCGGTCCAAGCGCCTTTCGTGCAGCTGCTGCTTCCGAGGATTTGCCCAATGATCTGTCCTCGCTGAGCGTTCTGCTGGCCGAGTCTCTCGCAGCAGAGCGCATGCAGCTGCTGCAGTTGATCGATAGCCAGATGCATCTGGTGTCCAGTGAGCAGACCTTAGCAATTACTATGCCGGAGCGTCCGCTCAAGCCAAAGCGTGGTAAGCGCAAGAGCCTGGATGCCGCCGAAGCTGCTCGAAGGGCCCAGCAGTTGGAGCAGGAGCTGGATGTAGAACGGGCCTACCAAGAATACTGCGAAGCAGCCCAGGAACGCGAGCATGAGCACGAGCACGAGCACGAACAACGCGGAGGCGAGAAAGTAGCTGAACAACATTGATAGCCCTTCACATAGTTTTCTGCGTCTTTAACGAGTTTCTTAAGGATTTCAAAAACAAGTAAAATAAAATATTTAAAAAATAACTTAAGCTGTTGATGTGTGCTGGCGAGGATGGGTCTGAAGCCGCCGGCGCAGGCGTGGGTACTGCTAGGCAGCCGACTTTCGCTCCATGTCCCGGTCCCGGTCCTTGATCCGTTCCTTCTCCCGCTCTCGCTCCCGCTTCACAGTGGGCAAGCGCGTCCAGATGTAGCCGCCCGATCTCTGGTAGTCATCCACGTCGGGCAGTGGGAAGGGCGTGGTGCAGTCGTAGTAGTAGTTGCTAGGCGCGTGCATCACGAACTCCAGATAGCAGAGCTTGCGCGACAGCTCTTCATCGGGGCCTGGAATCGAGGAGAAAATTTAGTTTGCTTTTACGCTAAGAGATTGAGATTGGGAATCAGGGATCCGCTTACCTATTAGGTAGGTGGCTGGGTCGAAGCCCTCCTGAGGGTCGGGACTATCCTGCGTGGGTATCAGCCAGGTGAGGAACGCCGACTTCTCGCAGTAGGCATCCACGAGCAGTCCCCGGATCTGGGCGTAGTAGACGCTCCGTTGGCTGTCCACTATGCTCACAATGTCGCCAATCTGCATGTAGCTGCCCTTGTAGAAGACACTCTTGACGTACTGCATCGAGGCCTGGACTCGCGGCGTCTTCTGCGCCGGCCGCTTGAACAGGGAGCGCCGATTCCTTGCTCCGCCTCCACTCGCACCTCCAGCGGAGCCGCCTGCAACGCCGCCCAAGCCCGCCTTGCCGTGCGTCTTGCCTGCACCACCTGCATTCAGCGCATAGCCTGAGCCTGCACCAGCCCCAGCTCCACCTCCATTTAGCTGTCCATTGTGGTGGCTGCTGGCGCCCGCTGCGCCGCCATTTGGATTGCTGTTGCGGCCTTGGAGCTTTGCTTTGAAACGTGTGCTCCGCGTGCTCTTGCGCAACCTTTTGATTATTGTGGGTGAACGAGCGCCATTTAGACTGCTTCTGGTGACTTTGGTTGGCCGAGCGGGGGCGTGGCAAGTCGTCGCCATCTTGGACGAACTCAGATTCAAGTCGCCCTCTGTTTCCATCTCAACTGTAGCAGTAGCACTTGCAGCCACTGCCGCTGCTTCCTCTTCCAGCTTTGTTTCCGTGTTGATTGGCTGCGTCTCAGACCCTAGGGTGGGCTGCTCCGCCTGGAAAGTCTTTTGCTCCCCTTTGCCCGGCTGCTCGGGCTTGTTTGGCTGCAGCTGCTGGTCTTTTGGTTTTGCTTTAGACCCTTTGCCATTGCCTGCTTTCTGCTCCACCTCGTCCAGGTCATTTAGTATCTCTGCAGTGGTTAAATCCGCATCAGTTTCCATTTTAACAATTGGATCCGTTCCTTTTGCTCCAATTTCCACGACTGTAAAATTCTCTCTTTGCGACAGTTTCGAGCCGGCACCTGTCTGTACACTCTCCTTCTGGCATTTGTTTATCAGCGCCTCGCAATCAAGTGCTGTTGCCATTGTTTTAACTTAGCAACACATATAAACACCTTTAGTCTTCAGAAATGATTTGTTTATTTAAAAATTTCAATTCGTTTACTTCTCTGCAAACGCCAATGTTATGCTCAACTGGACTGGTAATGCTCAAATGAGCTGTTAATGCAGCTTTTGGCATTAACAGTGCCATTTTGAGTAAGGCACAATTGTAATTGTTTTATAAAAGCTTGCTTAAGGGTAATAGTAGAATATCTGCGTGTTTTTTGCTTTTTAAATTGTAGTTGCGTGAAAAAAGTCAAGAATCTAGTAATGTAATTGATATCCAGTGGAAAGTAAGTGCCGCTGTAGCTAACGCATTTTTGCGTCACTTGCTGTGCCGCGTTAATAGCATTGCGCTGTTTGCGGTTAACAGTCTGTTATTTGCTGAGAATCGGGATCAAATTGGAGTGCAAATAATTAGTCAAAATATAACTTGTACTACTAATGTATGTAAATTGTACTTTTGAAATGCTTTCATTTGTATATTTTATTAGCTTTACCGTGCTTATACAGCGTTAAAGCGGCACTGTTAACGCAATTCGGCTACTTGCGCAGCTGGCTGAGTCGATGACCGTACGCAAGCTGCGCTTATCGTTATCGAACAAGAATCGAGAGCAAGTGCGGGCATCACTCCACCTATCATTGTATATTCTGTTTTATAGCTGACAGGTCGTGTGCGCAGAATCCGTCGGTGTAATTTGAACTTTTTTTTAGTGCGCGCGTGCCACGATTTACTATTGCACACACATACACGCACACATACATACACAGTCACAAAACAAACACAAATATTTGGTATTTTTTTTGCAAGTGCGCGATTTAATAATTTAATTTTTTATTTCTATACCTAACTGTGAATACACACACACACACTGGCATATACATATATGCACAGTGAGAGTTTTTTACAACTGCAAAAACATCAACAACAGCAACGAAACGCATGAAATGTAGAAAAGCAGAATTCTTCTAATGTGTGTGACGAAGTGACGTAGAAAGCAGAGAGAAGAAGACAAAAAAAACATAGTTCAACCACGAATACATATACAAACACCGTAACGCATACAAAGAAAGTAATTTAAAATACAAACGTGGACAATAACAGCGACAGCGACAGAGGCAGAGGCAGAGACTGAAGCAGCGGCACAAGCAGAGGGGAGCGCAACAGTTGGCTGGAACAAGGGAGCAGCAAACGGCAACAACAATAACAACAGCAAGTGAGTGATACATAAAACTATCGGCAATCGATAGCTGGGTTTGCTGCCAAATGTCATTGCCATAAAATAGTTGCCAATCAGAAATTTGCAACGGTAAATTGCATTGGAATGCACTGGAATTTGGATACATTTGCATTGCCATTGCCGGCAAAGGGAGTGAGCGAGGGAGAGGTAGAGTGATAGAGAGGGAGAGAGCAAACGAACAGCGATCTGACGGTAGCTTAGGGCGCTGAAAAGAGATGCCACTAGCTGCATTCTCAATAGATTTGAATTGCGCGCTTTGCATTGAATTCTAGTCTCATAAATCCCACTGCAATGAGCTCATCTCTGAGTGAAACAAAAATAGAAATATTTTGGCAATCGAATGACGCTCGAATTGATTCTAATTATTGTTACAGTAGACACTCGTTAGCTTCGATTCTACATAGATTAAATTAAATTAATAAATTTGTATTAGAAAGAATAGACAATAATGAAATTATTACATCAATTAAGAAATATATACGATTTCATTTAAGACTCCAGCCCGACTATAAAAAAGTTGAAGCTTAAAGTTCTGGAACCTGTTCTTACGGTTCTTCTCGTTTTATGGCCAGATTTTATGTTGATTGGTTTATTATTTATTTTGGTTCGATTTCAGATTATTGTCTCTAACGGTGCTTTTGTCTGTTCCCCCCAGTTGCATAACCTAACGGTCGTTGCACAGTTGGGAATGGGCGTGTGGGCGTGGCACTAGCTGCGACGACTTTATTTCTTCTCCTTGAGAACGCACCTTGATTTGGCTTTTCTGCTGCAATTTAATGGGAATGGGGCGATCGGGCTGTTCTAGCTGGGGGCGTGGCATTCGCATTTCGTTTTGGCAAATCATGTCCAGAACGCCGCTTGCAACGGTATAAAAAGCCAAACAGTTAAGCGTGCAGAAATATTAAAAAGAAGCAAAGCAAAGCAAAGCAGCAAAAAAGGCTAAAGTAGCTTAAAAAAAGCTGAAAAAATTGGTAGAAGTAACACAAAAAAAATACAGCAACAAAAAACTGGTTCCGGCTGCCAAAGAATTCCGCATTCGAATTGCTTCGACGAACGCGCGTCGCTCGCTCTCTCCTCTCCTACTCTCTCTCTCTCTCTCCCTCGCTCTTTCTCTGTTTGTGTGTGTGCCACTTCCGTATATAACGTGCATAGCTAAGGCAACAACAACAACAACAACAATAATAATAATAACAGAAAGAGCAACAGTTGCTGTTGCCTCTCAGCATTCTTGGTTCACGTTCGTTGCCTAAGTCTTTTGTTTTTTTCTTTCACCCCGCTTCATGCCTCTGCGCTCTGAGCAGCCTCTGAAGAGGCGTAGCACAAGTGCATAACAAAGAGAGGCACACAGAGGAGTGCCACACACACACACACACATACGTACACACACACACATATATATTTGCATATCTATGTATGTGTATAGAGTAAGAGCTGTTGTGCATGCTAACGTGACAAAGATGTTAATTGGCTTTTACTTTGCTCAAACAAAATACTTAGTCACAGTGAAATACAACAGCAACAAACAGCAGCAACAACAACAACAAGAACAACAACAAGAACAACAACAACAACAACAACAACAAAGCAAACAAACAACACAAATCCATCAAAGTGAAATTTAATTTCAGTTGTCGTGCCATTTCATTTGCATAGCTATTTGCTGTCTCTTGTTTCTTCTTCTTCTTCTTCTTCTTCGCTCATTGTCTCTCAGTGCTTATCAGTAGCTGATCGATAACATAAACATTCCAGTAAAGTTGTCTTTGTCAATGGCTTAGTCGTGTTGCTATCCAAAGACCAGATTAATCTAGTTTGCTGAGTGCATGTGCCTATCGAAACGGTTATCGATTGTCATTCGATGACAATTCGATACATTTTAACATGGGTTTTATTGATAATATATAATTTGCCCCTCTCTCATCTGATAAATTTATTCGTTTGTATTTGTCGATGCAGTTATCGATAACTATTCCGTAACATATAATCACTAAAATTAATGGTACCCATGATTTACTTGCATTGTTTACTAAAGATTAGAAGCAGTTGCCAAGACGCTGTCGCATATAGCTGACTGATTTATCGATAAACTTCTCTGTCGCTATAAACGATTGATTATATTCGTACTGATATACAGCCAATGCTTTCAAAGCTCGATAAACAATCAATATTATTGACTATCAGAAGCACCCACTCGTTGCACATCTTTGTAGTTGCATGTCTCGTTATGCCAGCATATCGATAAATTATCGATCTACTTTTTGGGTTGCCAATTGCTCATGCCCCAACAATTCGCAGCTGTTTGTGTGTGGGGGCGTACACGCCCCTTTTTATTCAATTGCTGTCTGTCTGTCTGCCACACGCTGCGGCGGGGGAGTTCGTGTGTCGCGTCAGTTGTGTTGTGGGTGCGCCACAGTCAACCAACAACAACAACAATCGAAGTTGAGCCTCAGCGGCGCACCTCGAAACAACAAAGAGGTAACAACAAATAGCAACACGAATGCATTTTAGAATAATTTAATGACTTTGGCGACAAACAACAGCTAGGCAACAACAACAAGAAACATCAGCAGCAGCTGCTGCAGAGATCTGCAGTCGTCGTCTCGCACTTTCAATTGTCTTGGAAAAAAGCAAAACAAAAGCAAAACTTCTTTGAAAATTTCCCTTTTTTTGCCTATGGTATGGCCCTGCTGCTGTTGCTGTCGCTGTATGTGTGTGCGCGATCGATGAGCAACAACAACTACAACAACAACAACAGCATTTGTAGCACAAACTTTTGGCGCTGGCTTGCTGCGACGCTGTCTCTGGCAAAAGGTTTATTGGCCTTTTGGCTCACTGCGCTGTCGTTGTGTGCGTGTGTGCATGTGTGTGTGTTTTAGCCAAGCTTGCTGAGCATTTGGCTTGGCCCTTGTGTTAGTGAAATCGACTTCGAGTTTGAGTTCGACTTTGGCTTCGACTTTGGCTTCTTGCTAAAAAGTATTTCTTTCTTTCTACAATGAAATTTTCTATTTGTGCGAGTACAACAAATCGTGAGGTCGCTGTGAAGAGAGAGAGAGGCATTCACGCAGAGAGAGATAGAGCGAGAAAGGGAGAGAGGGGGAAATTGAGGAAGACTGGGTGAACATTAAGCGGCTTACTTCGCTAACAAATAATGATAATAATATGTGACTAGGCAGCGCGGCTTACGGGCTGCCCAATAATAATCGAATCGTCTGTGAAGAACAGCAAGAAGAAGATGAGGATGATGAAGACTAGTATGAAAGGAGCAGTAGAAAAGGTGAGAAAAGAAGTTGGCAAAGCTGCAGAAGCAGGAGAGCCCAGACAGTTGGAGATGTAGAAGTAGCTGGAGAAAAGGTAGAACCAGAGAAAGAAGAAGCTGGATGAATGTGAGATACGAGCGGGAGAAGAAGCATGAGAAAGATTAGTAAAAGAAGGACCTGGAGGAGCAGATGGGAATGGAGGTAGAAGAGCTGAATCCATGAACAAATATTAGATAAGCAAATATAATGTAAAATAGATCTGTGATAGTACAAGTTTATGACAACCAAAGAACAATCTTTAAGTCTACAAAATTGAAAAGAAGCGAGAGACTTAGGCAACGAACTTGGCAAAGTGAAAAGACTTGGACAACAAACTTGATGGTTGAGCGATACTGTTGGGATAGCGGATAATATGTCATTAAAAAGTAGATTCTATTTGATCATAATAAAAAATAATGCAAGGTAGACTTTTATCGAATCGATTATCGATAAGCCATGTATCAATATTTTCGCAGAAGAAGATTTGAAAACCTGCAGTCTCTCTCTCTCTCTCACTCTTATAATAGATCAGATAAATATAGAGAGATACCAATTA